TGAGGCTAATGAACAGCTCAAGGGTAAATATTAATATGCAACATCCCTCATGGATTCTTTACATATAAATATAACATTTTTTAAAATAAATACTTAAACATGTGATTGACCTCTTGGCTGGGATTTCATAATGTATACATCAATCACATATATATTATTAGCCCCATATAGATTATTATCAATAGCAGGCACTTGTGTGATTTAACACAAGCAAGTTCACGTGATTATAAACCTATAAAATAATGACCCCATGTACAGTGTGCACTGCCCTGTGTCCTCATGAGGTTTTCCCCCCTGAATGTAAAACCACCTCCTACAAAAAAGATCATGTGCTATGAGTTCATGTATTAGATATGCACTATGGTGTATGGCATTGCCTGACTGTAGAAGTGAATGCCTTCATAGGTAAGTGTACATGATTAGGGTAGTATTCTCCAATAACCTTACACATCCATACAGATATCTGCACAGTGTTGGATATATTCATACATGATTTAAGTTTACATTCACCAATACATGGACGCATGTCTAAAGGATGCATCCTCCTGCAGCTGCAGGTATTATAAATAGCCACAGCTCTCACGTGTCACAATCATAGCTCTCACCTGAAATGTACCCGATATACATTCCAGTTACAGCATTAATTAACCTCAATAGCAATTTTCTTTTTCCATCCCCTTGTTTGGGGATATACTTTTGTTACAAACATCTTTTGGTGTTAGCCATGATAGTCACATACATGGAGAGGCGGAACATGCTTTAAGAAGGGAAATGTGTGTTTAATAAGCCGCAGAGCAGCTGCTAATCAATGAGTGGCACAGTTCTCTCAGGGTTTCCAGCTCTTAGGAAATCTCTCCTGTTAATGAGCAGTTTGTACTGTGGAAGATTCAAGTATTTACTTTGAGGTCTGGATAAAAGGAGGCAAAGAGGAAAATCTATCCTGAACATGCAATATTTGTTATACAGCAAATATTAATTATTTGTGAGTGGAAATGAATGTTTTCACATTATAAACATTGGTTTTCATGATAAAACTAAGTGATAAAATACCAAAATCAGTTTGCGTCTACCATGTAAATACATATGACATGTAAAGCGTTAGACTATAAACTATGCTGATTTAAATAATGAAAGCACTGGATTCCGAATGTAAATGTCGAAGCTGAAAAGCATAGCCGGGCCAAGGCACAGAAGAGGGAGGCAGCTGCCTCTTGTTTAAAGCTAAACTCCAGGAAAAAACATGTTTTTTGACTTTCACTCCAGCTTAGTTATATCTAATGATCGGTATACTACATCTGGAGGGCTGCTGCGGATGCTAAAATCCTAGATGTCCTAATGACAGATTTACTGTCAGCTTTGATCTTTAAGACTCTGCTGTTGTAACTTCCCATCTTGTACAGTGCAGGGATAGGATACAAGGCATTCTGTGATTAGACAAGGGGAAAGGAGGGGGCAGGACCGCCCCTTGTCCAATCACAGAATGTCTTGTAGTCTGTGAATAGAATACAAAATGTTTTATTAATGGGTAAGAAGGGATGAAGGGGAAGAGTGAGTGACTGCTATCGCTGCACTGTATAAGGGTGAGAAGTTACATTAGCAGAGCCCAGAAGATCAAAGCCGACAGTATGTCATGAAGACAACTATACCAAGCATTAGATGTAACTAAGCTTGACCAATCTAAAGTAAAATGTTTTTTTCCTGGACTTCACCTTTAAAGTGGTAGGTTTCCCCCAACGTTCCTCCCATAGCCAAGCATAGCAGGGACTTCTTATACCAGAACATTTCTGCATGTCTCATTTCCATCCAAAAACATCCTCATTTTAGGATAGTTAGCCGAGCATAGTACAGTAAATTCCTTCTGCCACTGAACCAGTAACAAACGGGTCCAATCTGTATTGGGAAGGCTCTACTGAGCTTTGCATTGTTTCAGTGGGGGGCTCACCATAACCTGCCTGAATAGGCTGTCCCACTATAGTCTAAATAGCTGAGTTGTACAACGGTGATTTCTCCCAATAAAACACATTTTCATTTAATGTCTGAAAATATTTTACCAAAAGATCAAGAGATGCTAGAGATGTGAACCACAAATATCTATAGTGGACAATCAGCATCAACAGTGTGAAAATGTAAAGGCTATTTCCAGTAAAAAAAAAAAAAATTCCCCTTGCAGTGGGGCTACCCCGGCACTGCAAGGGTTACCGGCTCATTAATGTCTAGGGGGTTGTGTAAAGGACTTTGAGTTACCTGATTCCAATTGCCACAGGCTCCAAGACCGGGCTCTACTGCCTCTTCACTTCTCCATTCCAGCAGTTGGAGGCAGATGTCATCATGTCTAATGTGGGGCCCATAGCCCTGCATTATATGCGAGGACACCAAGGGGAAGTCGCCGGAGTGGATGGGGGAGAGGCAAGTGTCGACTGCTGGGGAAACAGGGATCAAGTAAAAGGTCTCAACACACCCCCCCAGACATTAATGAGCAGTTGGCTCTTGCAACACACGGGTAGTTGTTTTTTTACCTGGAGATAGGCTTTAAAGTAAGCCTGCCTGGAGAAAAATATTTGGGTTGCCACTGAACTGTACCTGGAAATGCTAGTTGCCTGACTGTTAGCTAACAGTGGCAGAGCCATGTCAGAAATCTCTATCCGCATTCTTGTTCTGGCTCAGTGACTCAGGATGTACTGAAGCCAACTGTTTAGGCAACAGCCAGGAAGAACAGTACCAGCCTCCATGTTTCTCTAGCTAGGTTTACTTTAAACATGCCTGGGGTAATTATGGAAAACAGATATTAGGAAGTACATTAAATTAGCAGATTTGGCATTTACCTGATATCAACATGCTATGACTCAAACTGGCATTGCAAAAGGGGCACCAATTGTTTTGTCTGAAGTCAAACCCTCATTTTCCACGTAACATAAGTTTACTGATACATACAATAGTAGCACATGTTTGTATTGTAGCTGTGTGAATGCAACAGCTTGTACAGCCAAAAAATTCAAAGTTCAAAACTATCTGCCTGCATGAGAACTCAAACCTTAATGGGCCACAATGATGACGGCAGCAGCTGTTCAGTGATCACAATTAGATCAAACCGATCACTCGATTTACCCAATAATATATGTGAGAAACTGGATGGCAATCCTGTTATTCGGCATTCATAGGGTACCATATGGATGGATACACCTTATCGGCATGTTTTTGCTTTGATTATGCCCAGCCCAGGTATAATCCACTCCACGAGCTACAGGTTATGTCAGCCATCATCAGAGAACGAGCCATGTCAACAAATATTGGGATGGCTGATGTTATTACATTCTGAATGCAATCAAATGTTATTGAAAGCTAAAGTGCAACTGAAGTCGAAACTTATTTGTTTTAGTTTTGAATAGAGCGTGGAGGGATTAGAACACCTGTCAGGTATTTATTGCTGTCTGTGTCCCCGTTAGGTAGATTCACCCTCCCTATTTGTTCTGGTGACCATTATCACTGAAAATGAAAGTAAAAGAAAATCCCAAATTTTGGGTTGTAATTTGAAAAGAAATAGATGGGAAGTCTTCCACTAGTTCTGGTCACTACCTGGGATGTCCTTCTCTTTGGAGGGTATTCCTGTTGTGGCTATTGGACAGGAAGTGAAGGGAGATCTCCCCGATGGGACACAGGTGGCAAACAAAGCTGACATGGATTTTAAGGCCCCATTCACACTGGATTCGGCCCGCACGTACAACTTCGTGCAGGGCCGTATCGGGCAGCTGCCGGGAAGGACAGGTGCTGCGTGTGATTAGTACGTAGCCCCTGACCTTCTCTATGGGACTAGGCGACCGTACGCCCCCCCCCACGCTCACCTCAAGTGCAGGTCTGTACGGGTGCATGTTTCCTGGCTCGGACGCAGACAGGAGCCATCCTGTCAGCCTACGAGTATGTTCCCCTGCACCCGCATGGACATGCAGGGCGGGTGAGCGTACGGCTGCGTAGTCCCTTAGAGAAGGACAGGGGCTGCATACTAACCACACGCAGCACCTGTCCTTCCTGGGAGCAGCACGGAGCTGTACTTGCCGGCCGATTCCTGTGTGAATGAGGGCTAACTCTCTCTTACTCTACCCAAACCTAAAAAAAAAAAGTTTTGCCTTCAGTTCTACTTGAAGTAAATCATATGACAGATTTGCATTTTTGCAGAGAACCAGTAAAAGTAACTACAATGCGAGTATTCCTGTAAGATAAATGACCATTTAGATATGCCATCACAATTCCGATAATAGATCCCATACCTGTAGCTGAAGCCCCAAATAAGAGTGCTTCTAAGATTAATGACTAAGTGAGCAAACTAAAATGCAAGTTTCCCATTGAATCCAGCACATCTCTTTATTATTTTTGATCAACCTCTGATTTTCTGTACTTAGTATGGCTTATATGCCTGGCATATGTTTTCAACTGCAGCTTATCAAATGATATTAAAGGTGAGGTCCACTGAAAAGTAATTCTCCAGTTCTAGGTAGATTCTAAAAAACTATTCACCTTCTGGCTTCCTATAACTCTTCGGGACCCCAGCAACAAAACCTCACTGCCACAGATCCTGGGTACCTTAG